TGCATACACTATGCCAACAAAATAACAGAATTGTTACAGATTAGATGTATATAAGTAGATGTACATAACTGTTAACAGATTACTAGAAAGAACGTAACAGATTTTACAATCAGATAATGTCGGCAGAATCTGCTCAGTTTCTGCCAACAATTTGTCTTCACATTATGTCGACAGACAATATTAACAGAACACAAGCCTAATGCGGACGCAGTTGATGGTAGACTGCCATCAATTTCTGTTCGTCTGCTGATAGTTTGTTAGAAGACATTTTGCTATCTGAATATATACTTGTTAATTGTACTCCACTATCTAAATGTGATTCTCACTTGCCTGCTTAGTTTTCCTGTTGTTTGAAAAAAATCGAATCTTCGAACATTTATTACTTTCAATCATAATGCGTTACATTTACAACTTTTTGCTCTATTCGCCCAAAAATACAAAAATCGAAAGTAAAATCGCAGTCTCAAGATTTGAGATAATAGTATAGCGATTGTTCACTTGAAAACTCGCATTCTTTTTCGAATTACTCCTTACAACATAAGTAATAGCAATAATTTAAAGTTCTCTTTTTAAATGCCGACAAATTTGCTCCACGTAATATAACATATTTTCCTCAAGCCCCTTGATTTTTATCCAATTTCTATCAATTCTCGATTGTCACGCGCGTATCTTCTCTTCTGCTCAAAATAGAATTTATACAAACACCGTTTCCCGGCGGGTTGAACCTCCATTTCTGCTATCCCCCTCCGATCTGATCGACCAGCGTCCGGTGCGGTTCGAAACAAGGCGGGTAGTCGCGCGTGCAGCAGCGATGCACGAAAGCGAGGTAGACGATGTTGTACAAAAGTAAATAAAGTCTCTCAAAAGACTGAGAAAATATGTCGATAAATCTAATGTCTAACTGAGAGATAGGTATGGGACCCGGAGAAACAGTTGTCTCGCGTTCACGATTGCGCCCAACGATCGCGATGGACGATTGTTTCTCATGGCGCCAGTAGCCCGCACCAGAAGTTACTTTCGGATTGTCTCCCGTGAGCCGGGAGTGTGGCGCGAGAAGGGCGACGATCTTTCCACCTCTGAGAAAGTTTTCGAATTCCTTCCATCCACGACCTCTTTTCTCGTTGTCGTTCGTCGTCATCATTCCCTTCTCTCTTTCTTTACTTCCTAACATTTAAATCCGACATGTGCCTACGTTACGTCTATCAACATAACTTAGAGCATGATATTAATTTGACTATGATGAAAGCAAACGATTCATGTATTATATCTTTTCTGTTATTTCTACAGCAAGCAAATAGTTCAAAAGAAAAAAAGTAGAATTTTGATGTCAATAAATTTTAAATGTCATTGCAATAATTTCTTTTAATCTTAATATTCCAATTTCTCTTTCTGAAATATAATATTTCAGTAATGATTTTTACATTTTACATTTTATTAAATTTCTTATCATTGCGATCACACACACACACACACACACACACACACACACACACACACACACATACACACACGTTTCATTTTTTTTATTTAGTCATTGTTTAAATATATTAAATATATCCAATTTATTAAATTTTTCTTTCTTCGTTTTAGGAAATTAGTAATATTAATAACCTAAGAATTATATTTTTTACTTAGCATTAATTGTATATTATTTATATGTTATTGATAATATGTTTTTAATAATATGCCGAAATTTGCCGCACGTCATTACAATCAACCAATGCACATCATACCATGCGAGAGGGACGCTGTACGCTATAAAACGCACATACAAACGCACTTAATTTATGCCCTTCCTATCACCAAGTCTCACTTTTAAAGCCGCCGGGTAAAGCCCCGAGGTCCAAGGCGTTACTCGCGTATGACGCGTGCAATTTCTCGTGGAATTATTCCACGTACGCCAACGGCAGTTCGTGATATATGGTCAGGCGCGCGAGAGACGTGTCCCTCCTACACGCGTGACCCTTTGACTCCGATCCGAATATTGAATCACTTTAATATCTTGGACCGTGATACACGATGCACGATCAGATGCCATGGCCCGCTCCGATCTTTCAGGCGTACGTTCAATTACGTTCGCGCGTATCTATCTACGCAATCTTATAGTAGACGACAACGTCGAACTACTACATAAGCTACTTTACCACCGAGCATTCTCGTAAAACATTCATCGGCCCCATCGTACTACTAGGAAGTAATTCCTTCGCGAAATAATTTCCCCGAGAACAGATTTATAGCGTTCAGAAAGGAACTGACTGTATACCGGATATAATATAGAAGGGACAATAATAAATCATGTCGAAAATATAAAACTCGCTCATAATTCAATACTAAAAGAATGAAACTACGTCATATTAAAGAAAATAAAGTTAAATACCTGATTTCGCAGATTTGCTGAAATCTCTATCGCTGTAGTGCAGTAATTAATTGCGAGTTATTTAATCTCGATATTAAGTCTTGCTTTGCAAAAACATTGCAAAATTCTACTTCTACCTGGCCTACTCATGAAAATAATTGTGAGTTTGTCCCACGAATGTAAATGGATAAAGAAATTTTCAATTTAATATTTTTTTCTTATAATATTATATAATATACATATACATACATATATATATATATAT